GCATCAATCTGGTACTTGTGAGGAGCATCTGCTGCAACATAAAATGACCTTGAATTCTCACAGGTAATCACTGTATACAAACTCCCTGCGTTAAACAATGATAATATCATATTTATTAGAATCTCCAAATTTTAGTATTTCACCTGTACTTGCTCATTTGTGTCATCTTCTTAAGCAGGAACCCAAAGTGTTGCAAAAAATGAAGGGTGGGGTATAGGAATTTTTGCTTTCTTCTATGGGTGGTTCTTCACTACCAAAAAGCTTCATTTTTCTCCTGAAATAAGCAACAATCGCTATACCAAGGTCACAGAGACAGAGGCACTTCAGTTTTACCGTCAAGCAAATTGATGGTAAATCAAAGTGAAGGAAAAGTTTTGAGGCCCCTGAAAAAGCACAGTGCTCCGTCTCTATCAGTCACACATTTGGGTCCCCAAGGCAAAGGCAAAAGAAGGGTCTGTTTATCTGTGAAAATTCACGCAAGGTGAATGAATGATGCAGCCCCAAACATGCAGCCATGTTATCATTCTCTGAGCACATTCCAGAGAAAAAGAGTGATTTCAGCAGCTGAGGAGGAGGAGGTGTAGTGTATACTTCCACACCTTCACTCTGAAAGCAGGACTGTTTTAACGACCCCAAGAACAGTTACTGGCAATAATTCACAGAAGACAATAAAGCAAGGACAGCTACTAGAAATAGATGTAAGCCAAAAATACCCAGCCAAGACTGAGAGACCACTACATTACAAATTAATAGTACACAACACTTGGAGAAAGAGCAAGATACAGTACAGCAACACAAATTTGGGAGCCCTGTACATGTGGAGTCCCGCAATGAACATTAAGTACAAATAAACAAATAAATGCGAAGGATTCACCATATTTAAAACAGACATAGCTATGAAGAAGATCACAGAATCACAGAATGTTAGAGATTGGAAGGGACCTTGAAAGATCCTCTAGTCCAATCCCCCTGCCGGAGCAGGAACACCTAGATCAGATCACACAGGAACGCATCCAGGCGGGCTTTGAATGTCTCCAGAGAAGGAGACTCCACACCCTCTCTGGGCAGCCTGTTCCAGTGCTCTGTCACCCTCATCGGGAAGAAGTTTTTTCTCATATTCAAGTGGAACCTCCTATGTCCCAGCTTGCACCCATTGCCCCTTGTCCTATCACTGGATGTCCCAGAGAAGAGCCTGGCTCCATCCTCCTGACACTCACCCTTTACAGATTTATAAACATTGATGAGGTCACCCTCAGTCTCCTCTTTTCCAGGCTAAAGAGACCCAGCTCCCTCATCTCACTGAAGCCTCGGTCTGTGCAAGAGCTGGGTCTTTCCCAAAGACTTCAGGCAGCAGAGAAACACAGTTTTTGGTAGGAAGGAGTTTTACAGCAGAGTATTTTAACCAGAGCCCTGGCAGCATCTGACAGGGGCAGTGAGACCCAGCATCACCACTCCCACTTTCAGGCAGGGGAGCTGAAGAACAGAGCTGGGGACTGACCTCCACAGGGTCCCACGAGCACTTGCATCAGCCTAGAAACCAACCATGGGATGCAACTGCAACTCTGGGGAGCTGGGCTGTGGTCAAAAACACCCACAGGATATTCAGGAGTGTTTGAAATATTCATGTATGAGGGTTTAATTTGTCATCCTAGCCAGACTGCGAAAACACGTCAAATGCAGAGTATCTGTTCTGCTGATAACATTTACATTCATGACAGGTGCAATTAGCTCTGGTGGGTCATGAACACTCATTTTTCTTGGCTACTTGTCAGCACCTGCTAGGTGCAAAATCATGTCCTCTCCTTGTGAAACTGTCCTGCTTAACATAGTGAAGCATCACAACCTCTCTCTGAAGGTGCATCTGACAAAGAGAGACCATGAGGGATGGCTTTTCAAATGGACCCAGGGAAAGGGTGTTGGATGAGATACTGGCTGTATTAGAGACAAAAATATTCACAGTGATGTGGACCGCACCAGCTACAGCCAGAGCGAGAGGTCTCAGGAATCTCTGGAGTATATGGGCTGCCTGTGTGCAATCTGACTCAGAAGTTTGTTCCCTCAGCATGGTGAGTAACACCATGGTGAGACAGAGTATGGGGCACAGTGACATGAAAAACCCCTGCTGCAACAGCGTGTGTGTGCGGCAGGCAGACCAAGCCTTCCCCGTGTTCGCCTTTTGTCCTGAGAGCCGGGCACTGTGAGACTGCCCCTGAAGAAGGAGCTGTGGTTAAATTAGCTGGCTTCCAGCCGTACCACACCTACCCCAATGCAGCTGCACTACAAACAATGCTTCTCACTGATAGCAACTTTCTCAAGTCTCAGTCACTGGAGCTAAACTTTCCCACACTTCGCCCTCTGCCTCAGGCTGGCTTTTATATGGAAGGGGAGAAACCACACCAAAAAAAGTGCTGCTGTGTCCAAGGAAAGGGTTAAGGAAAGAAGGTGATTTTACCAGCATTAGCTAGCTCTTAACCAAAGTTTCCAGTTGTTGGGGTTTTTTTGAGAAGATTAAGTATAATTAGAATTTGGCATTGCACATGAAAAGGGGGGTCAGATACCTTTCGATATCCTCAAGAAATGCATCCCAAGGTTAGCCAAGATACATGTCTCACAGAACTTGCATACTGCATTCATTCAGAGCCCTTATGGAGAAGGTCTGTGCTCCAGAGGAAGGCGACTGCCATCCCTGTTTGCATCTAAGCCTGGCTGAGCACAGGAGGGTGTCTGCAGGGGTGCATGGGAGTTACCTGCCAGTCCAGGTAACCCATGTTTCCCTCCTCTGGAAACCAGGTTATAGGAAAAATATACGTGCCATATCACTGGTACAGAGTCACAATACAAATGAAACATGATGCCAAAGGAAGCTGGACACAGAGGGTTTGTTTAAGGTGGCCTGGGAAGCACTGAACATTGAATTCAGGCTGTAGGCTTCTCGTCTCATGGAGCACAACACTCTCCTCCCGTGCTCCAGCAGGCAGCAGGATAGCCCGCAGTACAGCAAGGGAGTGCCGCTGCCTGCTCTTGGTCACACCAGTCCTTGCCCCTATGCTGGAACGACTCCTGCATCACGTGCATTGCAGAAATCACCCCAAACTCTTTGCACCCACCTCCAGGGCACACCGTGATTTCTGTCGCTCCTGTAGTTCATCCCGACAGTGAGCAGGAATTTTTGGCTTGATGTGGGCACCACCATCGCACTGCCACAGCCAGTGCATAACCACAGTAATTTGCAACCAGTGAATAACCCTGGGGCTCAGCACCACAGAACATGTGAAATGTCAAGTCAGCTCAGAGGGATGCAGGTATTATTGGTGTATTAAAGAAATGACCACTCAAGAGAAAGGGTAGGAAGGCTGTGTTGGAATGCTGGTCTCAGTGTGCCTGATCACTGCTTCCCCTGCCCTGAGACAGCTCGTCCCAGCATGGGGGTTGCGGCCCTGAGTAGACCCACATTGGGCTCTGTCCCTGTCTCCATCCCCACACCAGCGCCCACTGCCTTTCTCAGCACCCCATGCTGCAGAGTTCCTCATGTGGATGAAAAATGGAAAGTTACCAAACACACGGTTCAGGCATCGGCTTCATTACAGCTGGGGTTTGATGGAGGAGAATACACCTAAACCCAGACCTCCCAGAGCTGCCCGGCAGGCAGAGCACCGGGCAGCAGCCCGTCCCTGCTTGCCTTCCCATCGGCTGGGGACTGCTGTCTGCTGGCCTCCCGCTGATGGAGAGAGAAGGGAAGCTTTAGTGCCTGAGTTTGCTCAGAGCAGAACAGGAACCCTCGGAGAGACTGAGGCAAATGCCTTTGAAGATGCAATAAAACATGAGCACTGTGGACTTTCTGGACAGATAAGCAAGATTTCCGCCTCACCTCATGGGGTTCTTGCTTGTCTTTCAGCAAAAGGTGATGAGAAGGGCTTCTCTGTCACCACTTTCCTGCTGCTGCTGGCAAAGCTTATTTTTTTAAGGTAAGAATATGTACCTTTGTTTAAGCAGGTAAACATTTTTACAGCTGGGGCTTGTTCTTGTATTCCTAGGAGCTTAGTGATGTCCTAATACCGAAATTGCTTGTTTAACGATGAGAGCTGGACAAATTCCTCAGCTTTTCTTCCAAAGTACCTGGCTGCAAAAAGCTATCAGAAATGCAGATAAAGAAAATCCTCCGTTACTAGCTTGGGCAGGTTTCAGGTCCACTGTAAGGATTCACCTGTTTGTAAGAGGGCAATGACAACAAGTCACTTCAAGGGTCAAGGCATTTTCAAATGTTTCCAAATGGAAGAAAGAGCAAGGACACCAGTTTGGAGACTCTTAACAGACTACATTCATAATGCTCTTTAAAAAAAAAAATAAAAAAATTCTTTTACAGCACAATAGTGCACCATTTCAAAATAGCATGTCCTTCTGAAAATAAGCCAGTTTTTCACAAGCAGCTTCAGACTGGAGAGCTTAATGAGGCAATTTCCTTGCAGCCAGGCATGGGGAAGGAAGGGTGGTGACACGCGGAACATAAGGCCTGACTATCTGGAGCCAGCTTTTTCTGTTTCTAAGCACCCTTATATATGATCATGTACACTAATATTATAAAAACAACTGAGGGTCAACATAGTGTCTCATTTAATTTACAAAGAGGCTAAAATCTCCAGGTACTCCTATACAAAAATGGCTCATTTTTGATGTCTTCATTTTGTACATAAAACCCATGAAGGGGCCCAGGCCGGAATTGTCATAGTTTGCACGGATTTTATTTCGTATGCTAATCCACGGCCCAATTATTTACTCTGTCGAGTGTTAGCTCTGATCTACACTTATGTTTTGAACTTAAAACAACATACCACTGTATTTCTTAAATAAAACTACAGTAAAATGACCAGCATGTTGCATTCAGCATGAAATAGCTTC